TATAAGAAAAACTAAAAATAATTTGCAGACATTAATTCGATTGTTAAGTTGAAATAAAATGAAAAAGTATTAGTATGATGAAGATTGCATTTTAAGAAGCGTAATTTAATTTTCCTTTTTAAATAAGTCTACCTGACATATTTTTTGCAATTTTCACATTGTAACTATTGCTGCGCGATTTTAAGTTTTTTTTTTATAAAAATTTCAAAGCATTTTAGAATGTCTGTAATTTTAAATTATATTTAAATATAAGAAAAACTAAAAATGAATTTGCCAGACATTATTGTTGTTAAGTCTTGATAAAATGAAAAAGTATTGCAGTATGATGAAGCATTGCATTTTAAGAAGCGTAATTTTTGCGTTTTCCTTTTTAAATACGTCTACCTGACATACTTTTTTTATTGCCAGACATTTTTCACATTGCTAACTATGTGCCAGACGCGATTTTAAGTTTTTTTTTTTATAAAAATTTCAAAGCATTTAAGAATGTCTGTAATTTTAATATTATGTTATTTAAATATAAGAAAAACTGAAAATGAATTTGCCAACATTAATTCGATTGTTAATCTTGAATTAAAATGAAAAGTATTGCAGTATGATGAAGATTGATTTTAAGAAGCGTAATTTTGTTTTCCTTTTTAAATAGTCTATGAATACTTTTTTATTGCCAGACATTTTTCACGTTGTAACTAGTGCCAGACGGATTTTAAGTTTTATTTTTATAAAAATTTCAAAGCATTTTAGAATGTTGTAATTTTAATATTAGTATTTAAATATAAGAAAAACTAAAAATAATTGCGACATTAATTGTGTTAAGTCTTGAATTAAAATGAAAAAGTGCAGATAAGATTGATTTAAGAAGGTAATTTTTGGTTTTCCTTTTTAAAAGTCTACTGAAACTTTTTTATTGGACATTTTTCACATTGCTAACTAGTGCCAGCGGATTTTAAGTTTTTTTTTATAAAAATTTCAAAGCATTTAAGAATGTCTGTAATTTTAATATTATGTTATTTAAATATAAGAAAAACTGAAAATGAATTTGCCAGACATTAATTCGATTGTTAAGTCTTGAATTAAAATGATAAAGTATTGCAGTATGATGAAGCATTGCATTTTAAGAAGCGTAATTTTTGCTTTTTCCTTTTTAAATACGTCTACCTGACATACTTTTTTTATTGCCAGACATTTTTCACGTTGCTAACTATGTGCCAGACGCGATTTTAAGTTTTATTTTTATAAAAATTTCAAAGCATTTTAGAATGTCTGTAATTTTAAATTATTATTAAATATAAGAAAAACTAAAAATGAATTTGCCAGACATTAATTCGATTGTTAAGTCTTGAATTAAAATGAAAAAGTATTGCAGTATGATGAAGCATTGCATTTTAAGAAGCGTAATTTTTAATTTTTCCTTTTTAAATAAGTCTACCTGACATACTTTTTTTATTGCCAGACATTTTTCACATTGCTAACTATGTGCCAGACGCGATTTTAAGTTTTTTTTTATAAAAATTTCAAAGCATTTTAGAATGTCTGTAATTTTAATATAATGTTATTTAAATATAAGAAAACCTAACAATGAATTTGCCAGACATTAATTCGATTGTTAAGTCTTGAATTAAAATGAAAAAGTATTGCAGTATGATGAAGCATTGCATTTTAAGAAGGTAATTTTTGATTTTTCCTTTTAAAACGTCTACCTGACATACTTTTTTATTGCCAGACATTTTTCACGTTGCTACTATGTGCCAGACGCGATTTTAAGTTTTATTTTTATAAAATTTCAAAGCATTTTAGAATGTCTGTAATTTTAATATTATGTTATTTAAATATAAGAAAAACTGAAAATGAATTTGCCAGACATTAATTCGATTGTTAAGTCTTGAATTAAAACTATTGAAGAATCATTATCGTGTGAAGAACACGAAGAAGCTGATTCTAGGATAATTTTTCATATTTGCCAAATCGATTTTGACGCAGAAGTTGTTATACGCTGTTCTGATTCTGATATTTTAATTATACTTCTGGGAAATATGGATCACCTGAAAAAATCTTTGAAAATTTGGATAAATATGGGTTTGGAAATCATAGGTTAATAAACATCAATGAATTGTACCGAATTCTTGGTGACTCTTTATGCAAAGCTTTACCATGCTTCCACGCATACCGGATGTGATTACACGCCAGCTTTTTTTAGAAAAGGCAAAGTTAAGCCTTTTAAAATATTAGAAAATTCTGAGGAATACCAGATAGCTTTTGATAATATAATTTCGGATGATAAGAAGTACTTGAAACTACGTTTGTAACCCTGAGAAATTTATTTGACAAATGTATGGAGTTAAAAATTGTTCGATTGTTAATGATTTCGATTTCATTTATTTTCAAGTACGTTTAAGTCAAAAAATCAGATGAGAACTTTGACAAAAAATTTCGAAACTTTGACTCATCCAGTTTGCCACCCTGTAAGTGGAATTGAACAGCATTTATTGAGGGTTCGTTACGTGACGAAAATTTGGAGAAATGTCACTCAAAACATCCAACATCTTTATCTTCAATGGCTTTTGGGTGGACCATTAACGGTGACAAATATGATTTTATTTGGTTTTTGGGAGATAATTACCATCCTCATTGCAGATATTATTGTTCAAGTGTGTTAAATGGAAATTTATCAATAATAACTAAAATGTTTAATAACGAACAAGAAAAATTACACTGTTTATTTTTTTTCTGTTGCAGATGATTTAGAAGATAACGAAAGTTCCCAGAAGATATATGAATGACACCGACAAGACAGCGACGATGATGATGATGATTATAAGATGCCCTTTTTTGTGACGTCACTATAGGCTAAAACAACTTGTAAAACTTAATATTAATTATTCATAACTTACATTTGTATTAGGACAATTTAAATAAAGTTTGATTATTAATTTTAATCAAATTTTATATTCCTTTTATGCTCGTACTACAAGCATTATACTGCAATACTTTTCATGACTTTTACATTTGAATTGAAGGCTTAACAATCGATTAATGTCTGGCAAATTCATTTTCAGTTTTTCTTATATTTAAATAACATATTAAAATTACAGACATTCTAAAATGCTTTGAAATTTTTATAAAAATAAAACTTAAAATCGCGTCTGGCACATAGTTAGCAACGTGAAAAATGTCTGGCAATAAAAAAAGTATGTCAGGTAGACGTATATAAAAAGGAAAAATAAAAAATTACGCTTCTTAAAATGCAATGCTTCATCATACTGCAATACTTTATCATTTTAATTCAAGACTTAACAATCGAATTACTGCAAATTCATTTTCAGTTTTTCTTATATTTAAATAACAAATATTAAAATTACAGACATTCTAAAATGCTTTGAAATTTTTATAAAAAAAAACTTAAAATCGCTCTGGCACATAGTTAGCAACGTGAAAAATGTCTGGCAATAAAAAAGTATGTAGGTAGATTATTTAAAAAGGAAAAATTAAAAATTACGTTCTTAAAATGCAATGTTCATCATACTGCAATACTTTTTCATTTTAATTCAAGACTTAACAATCGAATTAATGTCTGGCAAATTCATTTTTAGTTTTTCTTATATTTAAATAACAATATTAAAATTACAGACATTCTAAAATGCTTTGAAATTTTTATAAAAATAAAACTTAAAATCGCGTCTGGCAATAGTTAGCAACGTGAAAAATGTCTGGCAATAAAAAGTATGTCAGGTAGACTATTTAAAAAGGAAAACGCAAAAATTACGTTCTTAAAATGCAATGCTTCAAACTGCAATACTTTATCATTTTATCAAGACTTAACAATCGAATTAATGTCTGGCAAATATTTTCAGTTTTCCTTATATTTAAATAACAAATATTAAAATTACAGACATTCTAAAATGCTTTGAAATTTTTATAAAAATAAAACTTAAAATCGCGTCTGGCACATAGTTAGCAACGTGAAAAATGTCTGGCAATAAAAAAGTATGTCAGGTAGACGTATTTAAAAAGGAAAACGCAAAATTACGCTTCTTAAATGCAACTTCATCATACTGCAATACTTTATCATTTTAATTCAAGACTTAACAATCGAATTAATGGCAATTTCATTTTCCTTATATTTATACAATATTAAAATTACAGACATCTAAAATGTTTGAAATTTTTATAAAAATACAACTTAAAATCGCTCTGGCACATAGTTAGCAACGTGAAAAATGTCTGGCAATAAAAAAGTATGTCAGGTAGACGTATTTAAAAAGGAAAAATCAAATTACGCTTCTTAAAATGCTTTTAAAATCCAGATTATTACCTACAGATAGGATGCGACTAATGAACGCAACCGCTACCGCAGCCAACTGCCAGACTCTACCGGAAGTAAGAAGGAAGACATATCAAAAATCAGCTGACCTGGAATTCTTTCTCGAAAACTTGACCCCTATCCTACCTATCATGTAATAGCAACCATTATTTTTTATGACTTTTACTAAAATATTCAAAAAATATCAAATATTTGTATCCTACAACCTGATGTTTTATTTTGTAAATTCTGTCACGTGGGTTATCCTTCGAAGAACGCGTTTGTGCCGCTCGTCTTTGTTGCCTGCGATTGGAGGTTTAGACTTCCTGGACCCTTGGTACGCTTTCCCTTCTGAGATCAAGAGACAGCGCGTCAATCGCCCGGAAGCTGTTAAAGATGCGTGTCTTTATTCGGCTACCGCTTCGTCACATAAGTATTTTATTCAATTTTTTTTAAATGTACACCTCCGTCACATGAAAAATCTGCCACGTGTTTATTGTGACGGAGTGGTAGGAGTGCGTGACGGAGTGGTAAAACAAACAATATTATTGTGTTTTATTTAAATGCTGAATCCGAGAAATACTGAAATAGAAACACTAGTTATTATGGTAATTATTCCTACTGAAAGTATTACAAATATTTTTCTATCTTCTCGTATGTTAAGGTACTTATTACTTATTTCCTTTTTCCAGACACCACCATGGCAAAAAAGGAGAGATTAACACCAGCAGAAAGACGGCGGCGTTATCGGGAGAAACGAAAAAATGACCCTGAGAAGGCAGCTGAAATAAAGCGTAAGGATTTAGAAAGATACCATGCTCGTAAGAAGCTAGTGGCTGAAATGAGCATACAAGAGCACCGAATGAAAAAGCGAATATGGCAAGAAGCAAATAAAAGAAGAAGGATGAAGAAAATTATGCTACTTTTAAACACGCCGGGTCCATCATCATTACCAGAAATCCTACGAATGACTCCATCTGCAACACTGACTCCCTCTGAAGTGTCTACTCGTAGTTTAAGAGAAAGAAAGAAAGTGAAAAGATAAATAGAACAAAACACAGAGATAATATTAAGTTTCAAGAAAAAAAAAGACCAGTTAGAAAAGAATATATAATATATTAGATTGTTTAAGCGCTTAAAATGTTTTGAGTATATGATCAAACTATCCAGATATAAACTCACAAATCAGAATAAATCAGATTTCTAATCATCAGAGACCTTACTACGTACCTTGAAATGACTCTGAGGTGCCAAAACTAACACAGCGCACGCTTATAACAACTCTAAGCTACACTCTCAAATACATGCGCACACACACCCATTCACACACTCACACATACTTAATGTCTTATAAGACTCGTGTTTAATTAGTTGTAACGCTAAACCTACTTTTTCTCAAGAAACTGTTTTAAACATGTACCATGTACCACTGAGTAATTGTTATCTAGTCACAACACTGAGACTCCCTAGCGATATAAGGGTATATTCAACATTTGACAAATAAAACAATTATTAGATAGGTATATATTTTATTTATTACACAATACCAAAACTTTGAATTATTCCATCGAAGTAAAGTTTTTTAAAGATGGCAAGATTATTTGTCAATGTTTGCCATGAAACATTTTACACGTTTTATATACAAATATAATTAATACATAAAAACTAGTTGTAGTCATGTTTCAATCGCCAGTAGAATTATTAATATTAATAAAATAATAAATAGTGTAATCAATATCTACATTTAAAATATACATTGTATATAAGAAAGGAGCAGAACGATTACTTCTTACAATCTTATTTACCCTTATATCCTCACTTTGCTAGGAAATAATAATTAATAAAGCTATACACAGACTTCGAAACAGAAAATGTTTGGGAAGGCCTTAATAATTTTTTTTTATCTAGATTTCCATAAAGCGTCTACACACGGCCCTAAAATCAGAGGCAATGTCGGGGAAGTGGTAAGGAACCCTACATTGCCTCGTGTGTAGGCAAATCGTAGCCTAAATTTACGGTTTTCGCGGCATCTCGCGATCAACAAGTAGTCTGCAAGGTCTGTTACGTAGTGACTGGCAGGGACGTGTGTAGAGTATGCTACTGCCGATTCGAACTACGAGCAGATTTCATCCCCACCTCAATTGTCCCGATATCGCCAATGATTTTAGGGGCGTGTGTTGACGCTTTTACATTATTTTTCTATTCCATAATATGGAAATCTACTAATAAATAATAATTACCGTAATCCTGACACAATCCAATTGAAATATATATTTTTATAATAGTTATTTTATTATCTTAGCGCAGATCGTTTTAGGATCGCCCAATACAAACCCTAAATACCACCCGAACCCATTTCCCAGTTACCAAGTACTGGCGTAGGTAATCTATTTCCTTATTGAAAATTCTTTAAAATTAAAAATTTTGATCTACATAACTTGAAGATCGCTTTTCACTTCTATTCTAAAAGATATCAAGTCTTTAGCGGTTTTCCTGGATGGCGGGTGATTGTGTTCGTTTTTCATATGAACAATGACATGATCGTTTGTCATGATAGATGATAAGCAGCCTCTGTTGGTATGGGAGGAGCATTGCCACCTTCGAATGAGAACGCCATAGTTGTCCTTTGTGTGCTTCAGGGAATATCTGTACCCACTGAAGACAACAATAGGGTTGCCGCGCTTGGAGTGTATCATATATGCTGCAATAAATTTACACGTAATATTATTATTTGTTAGAACCTAAGTCAATCTTTGAGCATTTTTTGTTTTGGTTATTTACTCAAGAATGAGTACGCTTTCTAAGAACAGTCCGAAACTTCGGGATTTCTGGTTTTCCACAACACTGGTTTGTGGCAGTAAAGGTCATTACAATTAATAGGATTTAAAAGTAATATGTTATTCTGGTCAGATTCAGTTTTTCGAACAAAAATAGTATTAATGATATAAGTCATTAAATTACATACTGGTAATAAAAATATAGATTTTATTCTTAATTTTTTTTTTATGTAATAGGAGGCAAACGGGCAGAAGGCTCACCTGATGGTAAGTGATACCGCCTCCCATAGACACTCACAATGCCAGAAGGCTCGCAAGTGCGTTGCTGGCCTTTCAAGAATTGGTACGCTCTTTTCTTGAAGGACTTCTTGATAATTTCCTTGTAAATGCACTGATGTAGTAGAACTACAGAATTTCTTAACTGTTCTGTGGTTAAAGTCTGATTTTATGTTTTTTGTATCTTATTATCAGTGTAAAATTTATAGTGGATCATGGAAAACAAAACAAAAATTATGAAATCAATTTTTTATTTAATTATACATCAACTTTACAATTATAGATTTATTCTAATACTAGCGGACCCGACAGACGTTGTCCTGTCTGAACTATGAATATTGATTTCAAATTGGTATAATTAATAAAAAAATATTTCAGAAACAAAGTGTTTATTATTCTAATGCTTTATGTTATACAACATTGTTTGTTTGTTTTTCTGGCTCGCATATTATTATATTATCACTATAATAACTCCGATCTAAGCATTTATTTTAAACGATATTCATTTTTCTTACATCCTCTTTGACGATATTTGCAGCACGCATTCTGTCAATGTTATGTCAAACGCCATAAGGTTACATCAAAAAGTTCGAATTGTATGGTGGTTAAGTATTCTTAAATTTTCTAATTTTCCGCGCATTTTTTTTTTCTTTTTTTCTTTTATAAGAACCTTCTCCTGACAATTACAAACACAACAAAAAAAACAAACATATAGCGACAAATCGGTCAAGACGTTTTCATGTTATGTCGTGACAACGGAAAACGGGTTTCATTTTTATATATACTGCTCAAAACAATTACGGGAACAAAACTTTAAAGTAGAACTAAACTTTTTACTTAAGGTTTTAATTATTACTGGCCACTAGATAATGTTAAGGCATTGTCGAAGAAAATAAAAAAACAAAAGAGCATCGGCGTTTTGGTTAGTAGTCCTATAATAAAGTGGCAGTGTATCTAGAAACACCTTAAAACAAAGTGACTTCTTTGAATTTTCATTACTTTCTAATCACAGAAAACACATTTTAAGTAGTTTTTTTCAATCTTTTGAGTATTAATAGAAATTTAAGTGAGCCTTTTGAGTATTGTTATTCATTGAAGCGAGTGAGTTTAGGTCATAATGCCAGATCTGACTGAATTGCATGTCTCCCGAGCTATCGCTTTGCTTGAAGAGGGTCGAACTATGCGTTATGTAGGAAATGATCTAGGAGTAGCCCCTTCTGTTATCTACAGACTTTGGAAGCGATACCGTGAGACGGGAGAATACTCACGAAGGCGTGGTCAAGGTCGAAAGAGAAAAACTACACGTTTGCAAGATCGCTACATCGTCAACTGTGCTTTACGTAACCGCACCACAACTGCAAGAGATCTACAAAATACACTAAGGACGGCTACTGGTGTAGAAATTTCCGACCAGACGGTAAGAAATAGGTTGTTGGAAGCCAATCACGCCGACCAGTTCGGGCTGTGCGTCTAACAATTCAACATAGACAAGCTCGCCGACAGTTCGCGCAAAATCACGCTAATTGGCAACTTCGACATTGGAGGCCAGTGCTTTTTACTGACGAATCACGATTCCGTCTAACACGTTGCGATGGTCGCCTCCGTGTTTACAGACGCCCAGGCGAGCGATACAGTGCAGCAGCAGTCCAGGAATATGACAAATTTGGATGTGGCTCTGTGATGGTTTGGGGCGGAGTTAGTTTGGACGAGCGCACAGATCTCGTCGTTGTTCCCGGGCGCTTGTGTGCTCAAACTTACATTGAAAATGTGCTCGAAGATCATGTTTGGCCCGCAGCATATGGTATGGGCCCAGATTTTCTTTTAATGCAAGATAATGCCAGGCCGCATACTGCAGCCATCACGTCAAATTACTTACGACAGCAGGAAATCCGTGTAATGGAGTGGCCTTCCATGAGCCCTGACCTAAATCCAATTGAACACATTTGGGACTTGCTTGACAGGCGCATCCGGAAGCGTCCGATTGCACCTCAAACACTGCAGCAGCTCACTGAAGCGTTGATTGAAGAATGGGAGCGAATTCCACAAGAAGATATTCGGAGGATCATACGAAGCATGCCGCGTCGTTGTCAAGCCGTGATTAGGGCTCATGGAGGCCACACACGTTACTGAAAGTCACTAAAGACGAATATTCAAACGATATAAGAATATTTCTTTGATGGACCTTTTTTATCACCAATTAGTTTTTCGTCTACAATGCACATTTTATTTTTTTTTAATAAAAAAAATACAAATTGATTTTTTTTATTAATTGTAGTAATTAACAAATTAACAAGGTAAAAAATAGCGTACAAGTTAATTTAAATCTAATTTTAGTTTAAGCAATAGAAAGGAGAAAAATCTTGTTCCGCTAATTGTTTTGTATAATAGATTACAGTTCAATTACACATATATAATTGGAGTTTTTACACTATTTTAATTGTTAATATAACTTTTTGCTATGGTTATGGCAGACAGACTACGTAAAGCCTTTACCTGAAGGTTTTACATATAAATATACATTTATGTGCAACACAACATAATAGCGTCATATGTGTACATACCATTATTCTTTTTATACACCTAGGACTAGGGCGGAATCAGGGGCGGTCATAACTCACAACTCCAAGAGATGTGCACATTTCCACCTCGAATATCAAATGGTACTATAGACCAGTGCAGATAGCCTTTAAAATAAATAAAAAGTGAAAAAAATTACAGTAGGATGAAACCCATTAGAAAAGCAGGGGAATTTGACCAAACCGAAAGGAAAAATAAATTACGGTCGATCTGAGGTCGGGAAGGGGTAGGGGGGGTAGTTTTAAGGGTAAAAAACGGTTTATCTCGATTTCCGGCAAAACCACAAGTCCTATCGAAGAAAGTTAAATGGCAAAGTTGTAGGTAATAAAAAGATCTAAAACTTTTGTATTCACACATTTTTCACATAACCTCAAAATTGGTGTGAAAAATTAAAAAAAACAAGTTTTTGGTTTTTTATTTTTATCATTTACAAAAATTTATTTTTTTAAACGAAATTTGGTGAAAACTTACCTTATTATGTCCCAAATATACTGTAATTTATTTGATTAAAAATATTTATTTTTTCACCTTATTTTGAATTATTAATATCGAAAAAACACCCTAATTTTCAATCGAAAATTCTGACGTCAAAATTTCAGCTTTTTTCAAAAAGTTGGTGTGCTTTCAGTTCGGTGAAATCTCTACTTTCCTATGGTAAAAATAGTAGAACCTCTATAAGTCGAACATCAAGGGAGACGCCAAAAAATTCGAGTTATAGAGTTTTCCATTATGGAGGATTTCGACTTAGGCGGATTTTGATTCGACATAAAGAGTTTGAGGTTTATTCTTATAAATTGAACACCTGACACAAAGCAAGCAAACACGTGTTTCCATGAGTGATAAATTTATTATTGTATACTCCTAAAATGTTTTCTAAGAAACAATAGTGTACTCACATTGTCGGCAAGTTCTTAAAGTCGGTAACTTATTTTTGTTCGAACAATAGAGATAATAAATTCCAAATAATCAAGTTGTAAAGGTTGTAAAATAAAACGTTCCTATGTTCGAGATACAGAGGTCAAATTTAATTTTTCGAGTTAAAATATGTACCAAAATGGCTTGGAGGGACTCGGTGATTATTTCGATTAACAGAGGTCAAGATTTCAAGTAATGGAGGTTTTGTGTTTTAAGGGAAGGGAAAAAACATTTTTTCGAATTTGGAGGTTTTTGACTTATGAGTTGATTAAGAGGTTTTGTATATATATATATATATATATATATATATTACCATAGTAAATCTTCTCAGAAAACGCAAAAAATCGTATGCAGTAACGCCCAGACCTGTCATCCCCTTCCTTACTTCTCTATGAATCTTCTTTAAATTATTTAATTTTGACGTCAGAATTTTCGATTGAAAATTAGGGTGTTTTTTCGATATTAATTCAAAATAAGGTGAACAAATAAATATTTTTAATCAAATAAATTACAGCGTATTTGGGACATAGAAAGGTAAGTTTTCACCAAGTTTCGTTAAAAAAAAAAAAAAATATTTTTTTAAAAGATAAAAATTAAAAACCAATAACTTGGTTTTTTGAATTTTTCACATAAATTTTGAGGTTATGTGAAAAATGTGTGAATACAAAAGTTTTAGATCTTTTTATATCCTACAACTTTGCCATTTAACTTTCTTCGATAGGACTTTTAGTTTTGCCGGAAATCGAGATAAACCGTTTTTTACCCTTAAAACTCCCCCCCTACCCCTTCCCGACCTCAGATCGCCCGTAATTTATTTTTCCTTTAATTTTTATAATATTCTCCTCCTTTTCCAATAGGTTTCATCCTACTATTATTTTTTTAGGATTCAAAAATTATCGGCACTGGTCTACTAGTGAAAGTTTAGCATATTTTTCATGAAAAATCAGGGATTTTCTAATACGTGATTATGGTTATCAGTTGCTGATGATGAAAGTTTACCATCTATAGTATACAGAGAAGCTTTACAACCACTATTCCTCTTCCGGCACGACCATCGCACTTTGGTCCTATTTCCTAAAGTCTTTTTAGAATGAACTGTATAGAATGCACCATCCATTGATAGCAGCAGGTGTCCATTTGTTTTCGTAAAGATTTCGACTTTTCCTTAAAATAATCGAAATAATTATTAAGTGTTCTGGTTTGTCGTATCTGTGTAAATCGTGGGCTGATTTAATTTTATTATTAGGCTTGTTTGCAAGAGAACGTGTCAAGCACTTCAGACACACTTCCATTAAAAGCGAAAAGCTTTAGTTTGATAGAGCGAATATAGGTTATCAAATGATATTCACATGTTCTGTAAAACAATACGCAAACAGTCCTCAAGGCACCTACGTGAATCTTGCAATATAAAAAGGGATTTCTTTTCTATTTCCCATCATTCGATCAGCTGTTTTCAATCCTCCATCTGCCTTTCTGTTATCGGTTTAAAATGTCCAAACTGGTTATTGTATTTTTGATTCTGTGTGGTGAGATTTTATATACAAAATGATATTTAACATAAAATATTTAACAAAGTTTTAATTTGATTTTAAGTGAATGAGTTCGATGCACTAAATATACATATTTGCATATTTCTTACATAGAGATTTTAAAGTCAAATTGATTACCACAAATTTATTATGTTTAGTATTTCAGGTTTAAATGAAACTGAAAAAAAGTAAAAATAGGAAATCTTCCATACATCACAAAAATATTTTTTATAAGTAATTAATTAGTGAAACCTTTTAATAGTGGTGACCATGTGGGCGGTGGCTCTAAATTGCCAGTCCTGTGGTGACGAGTGCGCACCAGCCTGCGGTACCAGATACTTTAGAACTTGCTGCTTCAACTACTTAAGAAGGAAGAGGGGGTTTAATGCCAAGGTAGGTTCTATATATACGTTTGGTCTTTCATATTCATAATCATTTACCGGTTTAGTCTTATGATAGTTTTAATGTATACTGTACAGGCATATAGTACGTTTATGGGACGTACGTTTGAGGGGCCATTCTTTGTATTTCACTAAACTTCTAAACCAATTTTGCTGACTGATATAAATTGCAAATAACTGATGTATTCTTGTGAGAAGTGTCTCACACAGGAACATCGCATAATCATTGGTCTTTATATTCTGAATAAGTTATTTCTCGGCTTTTATGCCACTAATTGCGGCAAGTGATCAGTGTCGGCTAGTGGCTTCAGCGTGCGACTCTTATCCCTGAGTTCATAGGTTCGATCCCCGGCTGTGCACCAATGAACTTTCTGTGTGGGCATTTAACATTCGCTCGAACGGTGCAAGGAAAACATCGTGAGGAAACCGGCTTGCCTTAGACTTAAAAAGTCAACGGCGTGTGTCAGGCACAGAGGCAGCTCACCTACTTGCCTATTAGATTAATAAATGATCATAAAACAATATACAGAAATCGAAATCAATAATATTTTTTTATTAAGATTTGTTGCGGCTAGTATTTGTATATGTACATAAGATATACAGTAACATATACAGTACATTTGCTATAATTTACTATATATATATAATTATATATTATATGTGTCAGTATTTATTCAGTTAAACAGCTGAGGGACTTCGACTAATTTATTAATAAAAGTTATTTTGTTTACAGATGTATTCTCATTCCCGCAATGATCTTCCTCAAATTCTCCTCGAGAGCACCTGGAGCCAAGATCCAATCGATGTCTATTATTCTATATAATCTTAATCTCTATATATATAAAATACAAGTGAAAACAAAAAACAACAATTGTAAATAAAACGGATCAATAAATTTTAAATATTTAATTGTGTTTTAATTACGTAAATTTTGGAATATTAAAAAAAACTACGGTAGTTCCGAATAGTATATATTTTGAACAGCCATAATTTAAATATAATGTTGTTCCATGATAGATATTACCATACCGTCATTTGTTAGTGGGACTATCACACATTTAAAAGGTTCTAACAAACTAAACTTTTAATTCTAATCCTTAGTTTTGTCTAAGTTATCTGCTCTTGCTAATGCTAATCAAGCATTTTTTTTTATGATTATGTTGTGTGTAATTAAAATATATTTAATCTCTCTCATATTTTAACAAATTGCGCCTCCTCCGTATTAAGTTTATGCCTTAAATGTTGAGTCATGTGTATGATAGCCCGTTATATGATATATAATTTCGTCTTTATCCATGTATATTCGTGAATTGCATCCACGACAGTGATGGGTGGAACAACGCCAAATTGTGTAACCTGTCTTCAACGTGGTCTTCAATGAATAGGTGTATCCTAGGTGCATTATTAGTGGGTTACCCTTTTGAGATGTTATGTAATGAAAATCTGAAATAAAACAATTGTAATTCTATAATGAGGTCCAAAGCAATAAGATAGAAAATTTGTACATGGGGGTATTTCAGAAGCTGAATAAATTGATTCATAAAACTAAGATTATGGTATGCACAATAGTAAAAACATATACATACACAATATTTTAAATAAATTAATAAAATAATAATATTTAGGTCATGTGGTATCATTTGATGGTCTTCATAAGTTAAATAAATAATTACCCTGGGTAAAGAATATATAAATACGTAAATGTAAGTAAATTAGGCTGTGACTTAAGTATATATAAGTTTATGCATACCAAAAAACCAATAAATCAAGTTGAATACAACCACAACAGACACATCATTACCAGAAACAATTACCGATGGCAAAGTTTAGACAGTATACAATATTAAATAAAAGAAAGACACACTAGCATTAATCCTAGCCACATCTATCAGATCACTAGGGATACTCCCAAACTCACGTAGAATGTCGGCTTCAGTACGAAATAAATTGATCTTAGTTGTTTCTGTCTGCCTAGCAAACACATGACCTTCCTTCGTCCAAACAAATCTCCAACGGTGTTACTTGCATTTCTCTCGTAGCTTACCATAAAGTAAGCGATTGGCCTTTGTTAACCTCTCATTGATATAAATCGGCTTCGGGGTGTGTGATGGAAGGCTAAAATCAGCTGTTGATAAGTTACGTGTTTTAACAGCCATAATTTAAATATAATGTTGTTCAAGGAAAGATATTACTATACCGTCTTTTGTTAGTGGGACTATCACACATTTAAAAGGTTCTAACAAACTAAACTGGCATTAGTTTGTTATTTTATTAAATACTTATAATTATATATTAATCATTAGTTATGTCTAAGTTATCTGCTCTTGCTAATGCTTTTTTTATAATTATAAAGTTCACAAAAAAAGAGTGCGACTTTACATAAATAACAATCCATTCTAGCCTATACAATAATTATGGCTAATATGTAATATTATGTTGACTTAATTTTCTACAATACTAGTGAATAGCTTAAACTAAGGTAATGTTCATTAACAGTTTTAGTGTTCTATAATGTTTTGACACTATGTTCGTGTGTCCGAGATACCGCACTTGCACTTATATTCTCTACACTAGGTTTAGTTCTCTTCAGGCGTTTTATTCCTGTTGTATCAAGAAGTTTTTTGCCTCTAAGGCAAACCGTTTCGCCGTCTTTAGGACTGTATCCATATTAAGATCCTTGTGCATACTTTCATTTTTAATATACCATGGTGCATTGGCAATGTCCCGAAGAACTGTTCTGAAACCTTTATGTCTTCACTGTCAAGAACTACTCTTAGATCATGTTGGTGTTTAAGAAGGCCATAATTTTTAGGATGTTGGTCATTTTTGGGCATCAAATGTAGCATTTTTGTTGTTTACTAGCTGGCCTGGCGAACATCGTACCGCCTAACAGTCGATTCTTTATTTTTTTTAAATACTTATTCTGCTATTCGGGACACCGCGCCGGTATAGCTAGTAAGATCAAAAAAAGAAAGTTGATAAGAAAACAAATACATTATGTCAAAAAATTAAAATTTACCTTCCCGGAACCCCTCCACTAACTCTTGAACTTACATTGATATGGTATTAAAGTTCAAATTGACTTTTAAGTATTATTACGAATATTTTGTATGGGAATATAGAAAAGTGTTGTTTTTAGAATTTTTCACTCAATTTTTCTCTCCGTTAGAACCATCCTCGTACTTTAAGGAATATTATAAAAAAAGAATCAGACAAATCGGTCAAGCCGTTTTCATGTTATGTCGTGACAACGGAAAACGGGTTTCATTTTTATATATAGATATTATTTTGATCTAAAAGACATATTCTTTTGTGGAAAGCTTCTTAGCAGTTAAGATTTCGGTCCAGTTTTGTATCTTTGTTATCGTTTTGTTCCGACTTTTTTGACTTCAATACAAATTCCGCATGCGTAGAATGATCAAGTTACTAAGAGATATGCTCTACGCTTGCTTGGGTTGCACCACTGGCTTGTGATGATCTGTTTGGCTAGATTTATGTAATTTACTGGTTACCGTTGCTTTGATATGTTTATTATTTTTAATTTCTTGCATTTCTTTTGCAACGGTACACCCTCTGTAGCTTGCAGGATGTGTTCCTCAGCAGTGTAAGCACTTCGGTTATTATTTAAAGGCTTCAAGCAGTCTTTTGTTAAGTGTTTACCTGTGCACTTCACACACCTGGCTTCTTTTGCACAGTAGGTTTGAGTATGCCCATACGCTTGGCACCGTTTACACTGCGGTATAAGCTTCCTGGATTTTAAGGGATGAACTTTCACACAGCCTAGTATAGTTTTAATTTGGTAAATTTTCGTATATCCTCATCATGACAATATAAACATATTGAGCGGCTCTTTTTTTGGGTAGCTTATTTTATTAACAACGTAAATAATTTTTAAACCTGTTTTAAATAATTCATTATACGGGCAGGTTTACCACACACATGGAGAGTGCCACTTTTTGCCATGACGCGTATAGGGTCTCTCTTGCTTATTCTCATGGAAGCCATAGAAGTTTGTTTCGTGACAATATTTCAATATTTTTTCTATATGTTTCGCCGTCAGCAGCGATTATTTCACCACTTTGGCCATTTGTAATTTTTATAGAAAAAAAATTATTTTCAATCTCTTTTGACAGGTCATAAAGTTTGATAGTTTTTTATTTCACCTATTTTATGGAGGTGGTTCATGTAGTTTAGTTTTCTTACAGTGGATTTTTCTTCTGCCACTTGGGGTGACAGATTCAATTTCCTTTTCTACCTGGATTTTACACGTATCCACTCCGTTTCTCTCGCTAACTCTTCCTCATCTTTGCTATAGAGCGTCGGGGAGAGTATTGGGACTTTGAGTTCAGCAGTTCTTAGAGTTCTCAATTTTTTAGATCCTGTTGCAGTGTTTCAATTCTTCTCTGTAGATCTTGAACAATATTTTCTGATTTTGTTCTCAATTCAAGCTCTTCACTGCATTTTTTATATAAAAAATGTTATTTTTCCGTCATTGTAATATTATTAGGTGATTCCATGGTATAAGTATGTGTTGTATTTATTATTGATATTGTGTAACAAGCCTTAGCTGTTTTACAACAACTTTTTTTTATGATTATGTTTAGTATTAAAATATATTTCCCTCTGATATTTTAGCAGAATTATTACAAGTAGCCCCTCCTTCGTATTAAGTTTATGACTTAAATACTGGGTCATGTGTATGAAAGCCCTTCATACGATATATTATTTCGTCTTTATCCATGAATATTCGTGACTTGCATCCACGACAGTGATGGGTGGAGCAGCGCCAAATCGTGTTACCTGACTTCAACGTGGTCCACAATGAATAGGTATATCCTCGCTGCATTATTAGTGGGTAGCCCTTTTGAGATGAAACGTATTGAAAATCTGAAATAAAACAATTGTTCTAAAATGAGGTCCTTGTGATAATTTTAAACAAAATGGAGTGTTTCGTTTGATTATCATTGGTCAAACCGATTGCGTGTTTGTGATTGGATTACACGTGTTGACCAATTAGAAACTAACTAATATACGGGCCGTACTACACGTACGTAATACGTAATACGTGTATGTAATGTACGGGCCCACAAGAGAAAAAAATCTGTAATGGTGGAGCGTATTCAGAATACATTTACGAGATACATTTACACGAAATTATATGGATGGTCTTAGGTATGGTAGGATACAACAAGTTAGAGGTATGGAGGGAACTTACTATCAGATTATATTTTTTAAGGTCTTTAGAGGTAAAATATATACGGAAATGTTGGAACGACTGGGGCTGCGTGTGCCAAATATTCACACTCGGCGTGGTAAGCGGTCGCAATTGCTTGCAGTGCCTCGAGAGCGTACAAATTACTCAGCGAAGCACCATTTACGCGTGTCTTGCGCACCCGAAATATTATTGCTTGTGAGACGGATATATTTAGTTGCATACTGACTGAATTCACAAGAATTGCATTATTTATAATTAGTTATAAAAAGATGTAGGTTTTAAGTTTTTATTTGTTTTGTTTATATTATGTTTTTAGTTTAGTTTTCTATTGTAGAATAGTATTACATAAATAAAATAAAAACGTGTGTGTACTTATGGACACGCGTTTGAAGTTATACTTCTTTGGGGTAACAAGATAAAAATCTTTTTAAAAATTTTACCTTACGCCTTATTCTACGTTTGTTGAAAAAACGACACTAACAATAGAAAAAAATTACTCTCATCATTTTTCCCTAACGCGCCAAAAGAAGTATAACTGCAAAAAAACTAAAATGATGACTATAGCAAACTTCCGGGTGTCGGTTTTTTGTGACGGTGTGCGCGCGCAT